CTCTCGGGCTGCTGCCATCGCTCTGGGGCTTGGCAGCAGCTGGGGAAGGTTGGAGGCACATCTGCACCCCCAGAACCTGGGGTCTGTCCCCCCCCCGGTGGGACCCAGCCCAGGCTGGAGGACACAGGCACTCACAGTCCAATGATATGGGGAGAAAAATAAAAATATAAGCCCTGAGCCCAACCCCTGATACACCAAAGCAAGCACACAGGTGAGAGAAGAAAAATTGAAAAGTTTATTAAACATTAAGAATAACAGACAAAAAAAAAAAAAAAACAAAACTGGGCTGAACAGCATACAGGATGCAATCCATTTCATGTCATACAGTTAATTTGATCTTATTTATTAAACTTGTATTTAAACAGATGCTGTCTTGTGGTGTTGCCAGAAATACGATGGTTGATCACTTGTAAGTTTTAATACACTTTTTTTTTTCTTCACATAAAAGAAAAAGAATCAACAAAATAAAAATAAACTGCACATCTCTATTGTAAATTACATGCAAAAATAGTTTTAAAGCAATAACTGGTGTTATTACAAACCCACAGAGGCAAGATATTCAAATATCGGGGTCCTACTGAACTCATCCCACTTGCACTTGCAGTTCCAGAGCAGGTTTGTGCTGCTGCGTGGAGGCAAAGCTGAGTCAATCAAGCATGAAGCCTCACTCAGGCACCTTTCTTTCATTTTGAATTTCTTGCTTTTGTGGATTCAAGTCAGAACTTTATTTCCATGGTGCTAGGTTTAGGGACTTTAGCACCATTTACAAAAGAAAAAGAATAATCACCCCCCTCGCCGCCTCTGCCACAGGTTTTCCCACAGAGAGCCCCAAGGTGCTCGTGTTCACAAATACATTTCAAATTCAATTTATTTTTAGAGGCTGTTCTTTCTTAAAAAGAAAGAATTCACTTCCAAGTTTCAGCAAAAACAAAACAAAACAAAAGACAAGCATTTTAACAATGCTTATGGTTCAATAGAGGTCAGCGAATTATTTAGATATGCTATTAATTATTCTGCAAATATATATATTTCTATTTTTATAAAATTACAATTTCGTATACCTACAAGCTCCTTCATGAGCAACACAGCCATCAGAGGTGTGATGAGCCCAGCTAGGCTGTCCTTGGGAACTGAAAAGGAGCTAAGTTTTCTTTTATTTATTTTTTATTGTTATTTTGGGGAGATAAGCTGGTCAGAAAACCTGTATTTTTCCCAAGTTTTAGCCCACATATTTTGCCCTTTTTTTTTTTCTCTTTTTTTTTTAAGGGTCACCTTTTCAGAGGAGCCAGGATAACGGTAAGTCACGAGTGCCTGAGTCCCACGGGCTCCTCTAAAAGCCGTCACCCTTAAAGAAGCAGCGTGGAGCTGGGTGCCCCGGCTGACGCTGAGCAGCCCTTCCCGCTCACACCAGCACGTTTCCAGTCCCTGAGCCGCACACTCGTCCTCCCGCCCAGCGGGACGGGGCCAGGAGGCATCTGAGCAGCTTTGGGACCACGGGGCTAGTGGACAAGGTAGCTACTGGGAACCTCTGTGGTCCTCTGTGGCCATGACTTAATAAATCTGTGATATCCAGCCTACAAAAACTACCATCTCCCACCCCTTCCCTGCCCACGAGAAACAAAAGAATTCTCTGTAATTTTTTTCCAAGCTGCCTTTTACATTTTAAAGAAAGTTTTGTGGTCACAATGCAACCCACCGATGGCTCCAGCTAGGTACGTACCAGCTGATCTCATGCACACCATCCCTGCTGTTCAAGCGTCACCCCAAGAACAATCATCATCAGGGCGATTATAAACTGTTGTAATTTGTTACGTTGCTGCTAAAAACGCATCGACAGCAGCGGCTGCCTGAGCCCTGCCACAGGAAAAACTAGTTCATTTCATAGTGGCTCTAGCAGATACACTGACTTGTGCCAAACACTGCCAGTCTCCTTTCTCTACCCATGGATCCAGTGGCTTGTACTGACCTTTAGAAAATAACTTACTACACTTTAAACATTGCTGCAGCACATGGAATTTCAATTTGCTGAATAAATGGTCCCTGGCAAGTACTGCACGGTCAGGGACACTGACAAGTCGAGTATGTTTGAGGAAAAAATGCTGGAAAAACGCCATTGATGCGAGGGTATTTTTAATGCTGCAGAATATGTTGAGTCCTTTGTAACAACCTCCTGAAGCATGAATAAAGATTTAATGGAATGAACAACCTTTTTATTTGAAAACAGTGTCAAAATTCTTAGAAAACTGTGAGCAAGACATGTAGCACCATATTTTCCTCACACGTTAACAACCGTATGCAGTACATACAGCTGTATACATGAACAGAGCTATTTGTAAAAAGAAAAATTCAGCTGGAAACAGATTCTAGCAGCAGCAGCAGATTAGAAATGACTATGAGTTTTTTTGTTGTTTTATATATTATTTTTCTGCCTTTACAAAATACTGTATTGTCCAATCAATAGTTTGCTAAAATCCATGTTGTGCTTTGTCCCTATTAAACAGTTTCTTTATGTCTTTCTGATGGAAAATAATAAAGTCTCTTTTTTAGTAATGCGGAACATCCTGGAAAGACGTGTTGCTTCCATAAAAATTTAATTTAAAGCACAGAACATGCCAGTGTGCCACTGCTAGGCTTAAAATATTAGAGATTTTTAAAAAAAACCCAAAACCACCAACAAACCCCTAAGCATTTTCTTTCTGTACAATAAAGGAGAATATATATCTTTGCTATAAATTTAAACATGGAATAGCTTTTTCTTTTTGCTATATATATGTCTTTCAAAATACACTGTCAGTATTTGTACTTGAAAAATACTGTACAAAACGAACATTCTATAATTATTCTGTATAAACTTTATACATTTTATAATATCTATCCTTTTGGTCTATAGTAAACACTTAGATTGATTGGATTAACCACAGTATGTGACAACACCATCCCCTTCTGAAATACACCAGTGTCTCTTACATTCATTTTTCAGAAGTCCACTTTATATTAGAACATACATGTTCAAAAGCAAATAGAGTTTAAAACAATAAAATTCAGAACCATCAGTTCATGTCACACTCAAAACAACAATCACTAGAGAAATGGGCTTTGCAAACCAGTGACTTCTTCTAACTGAATAAAAGTAATTTTTAAAACAGCAAGATATAATCCACAGAAAATATATCACAGAACATGGGAAAAAACAACTCAATTTAGGTACTTATTTATATTTTAATAACAAAATGGAACTTGAAGAAATGCATAATTAACTGAAAACAGAAAAGCCTCTCTGATTTTGACATCGGATCCGATTTGATACTATTAATTTTGTCCTCGTTTCAACTAATTATCCTGCTTCTTACACATGCGCTCCCTATAGCAGGGATACAACTAGCATGCTCACATTAACGTGTCTTTTACTTTTTAACTTTTTTGTTAAAAACGTTAAAACTCCTGTTGGGTAGGGAAACCATCCTACGTCCACTAGGAACATCTGGGCAGCATGCGCGCTAGCGTACAATAGGATTATTGCTTCAGGTACAGACAGTGCAAAGTACACGCTCCGTGACGGTCTATTGACAGTACTGCTACCTACCTGGGGCCGGTGGAAGGAAAAGGAACCTTAACAGCTACAGAGAAGCCATTATGGGATCTATAATGAGTACAGCTACCTCAGTCTAACAGCAATTTAAATCTGAAGACAATTACCACCAAAACTTAAAAATACAACAAAAGCAATCTATAAATTAATATTTCTGCAGTGTAGTGCTAAATTATTATTTGTGCACTTTAGTAGCATGTTAACTTTTGTGATTAAACATACTTAAACAATAGATTGGTACTCTCGAAAAAACTGAGATCTACTTTTTTTTTTCTTTTTTCTTTTTTTTTTTTCCTTTTTTTTTTTTTTATAATTTATACTGGGCATCTTTCCAAGTAAATCAGGAGGATGGAACTGCTTACAATAACATACAAACCCTACTATGAAGCAGCACTGAAAAAATATAATAAAAAGCTTACTATGGCAGTTCTCAACAGTCCAGGTAAAAATGTGGCATCCTTTGAAGAGGGCTTCATAAAAATGGGAAGTGCCAAGATGCGGGCGCACGCACGCACACACACACACACACACACACGCATGTGGATGTGCACACGCGTGTACACAGACGTGTGAACACACATGTGCACACATACGCAGGTACACGCATACGCAAACCAAAAAAAAGTAACATAAGTCAGTTTTGTTTCTGCTTCTGGTAAAGTGCTGAAGACAGAAAGGTTGGTTTGGGTGTGGTGCTATCACACAGGAAACACATTGTCCATCTATTCAAATGCCAACCCGCAACAAAAAAAAAAAAGAAAAAAAAAGAAAAAAAAAGAAAAAAAAAAAAAAAAAGAAAAAAAAAAAGAAAAAAGAAAAAACCCCCGCTCCCCCCCCTTGAATTTACAGGGGGCCGTGTCGAGCTTCGTACTTCGCAAGGACATTCTTGCATTTGCCCAGCTCTTTCCGTAGGTCAGCCACTTCTTGGCGAAGAGCCGAGTTCTCCTTCTCCAGGAACGAGGCGCGGATGGCGATCTGGTTCTCCTTCAGCCGGCGCGCATCCCTCGATCGCTTAGCAGCCATGTTGTTCTTTCTACGCCTTGCCCAGTATTTGTCATCCTGCTCATGAAACACAGAAAGAAACAAACAAGATATTAGATTTCCGTAAACTGAGTGGCCACCAGGATGTGCTCTTAGCCACAGCCTCCGCACTGGGGATGACTTCACTCCGCACACTTTGCTGGCCTGGCCCAGTGAGCCCTGACAATGCCAGGCCAAAAGTTACAGATTTACGTGGCATAATCCGTCCGGGGAGCAGAGATGCCTGCCTGTGTTTCTGTCAAAATGTTTACGCTAACCCCCTCATCCTCTTGACTGCAAATTCCTCCAAGGAAAAACGAAGCAATGTTCCAGTGGTACAATTCATCTCACATCTACGCTGACCTAGTTAGCACATCCACCTTCGCACATGGTGACTCACTCACTACCGGCTGCTGGAGCAGTACTAATTACCCCTTGTGTGTCCCTGCTCTTCTTTGCTAGCCAACACCTGGTTCACTCTCTGTGTTGGCATCATCCATCTCGTTTGTGCTTCAGCTCTTTTTCTCTGTTCAAAGTTCTTCCTCTACAGAGCCCCAGAGCATTCCTGTTTGCACCCCAGAACACTGAGTCACTGGAGGAGTATTCTTTGGCTCAAGAAGGATGGGCTGCTGTGGTACCATCTGCAAAGAGATTAGTACAATAGGCTTTGACTGTGGAAAAAAAAGCATGTGCCAGAAATAGGTCCACTAACCTCTGAAGTTTCATAAGCTAACAGATTCCCAAAGTGCTATCCCTAAAGACTTGCCTCTAGGAGATCACCTTACTGCATTGGTGCATCAATGGCTCTAAAGTCACTGCTTAATTTCACCTGACTTTTCCACTCTTCAAATGAAGTGGCCTTCAGTAAAACAGCAGCTCCAATGTTGCTTTGAAACTGATGTAAGTTCTAAAAATTCAGAGCAACTCAGTAAATACAAAGTGGGCAGAAATCTCTCACAAAAAGTGAAATTCAGTCCCCTGCAGAGTAAGAGTGATGCAGCCACTCAACCCTCAAATTGCCTGGCCAAGCCATACAGCTCAAACTTTCCCTCCTGGAGTCATCCCTCCATTTTTATTTGCTTACATTTGCTTGTATGGCTCTCTTGTTTCACCAGGCATGGTGGCACAGTTCCATATCCACTACCTGGACCAGGTGGCACCTGCTCCTATTCTGCACTGAATAGACAAATACCCCACCACCCCTCTGTCTTTCAGCACAGAGGATGCCAGGCCTAACACCGCTGCTCTGCATCTTCTCCCACTGCTTGTTTAAAGGCAAAGCAAGAGCAAAACAACTGCTAAAAGTACTCTACATCTGCTTTATATTAGTTTAGCTTAAGGAGGTGTGCAGCAACAATGATTCGGAGCCACTGTACCCCTAAATCGCTCTTCATCTGTACTTAGATGGGACCCCCAAAAATCCTCTTAAAAACAAGCATGCAGCAAAAAGCTATGACCCAAATCTTGTTTATAATTTCCCATCTCATTCCACTGCATAAAAATCAGCTTTAAGCAATTTATTAGTGTGCCACCTAGGTTTCATCCATCTTTATTTTAACAAATTGCTATGGCAAATCCCTTAATCCAGGCCTGAAAGAGGTAAGGCTGGCATTTCAAAATCACATGCAACCCAGAGACGATTGACTGGTCTAATCTGCTTACCCTCCCCCAGAGCTCAAGAGCCATTCCACATGCCAGGGCAGAAGCAGCACTTGGGTCAAGCACTCTGAAACGAGTCAAGGGCAACTGACGTGATTATTCCAGGGAAACAAGAGACCCTGACCTTCCAGTTTACTCTTAGGCTGAAAACTGATGTGCCCCACCGCTGCGTGCAAGACACTGATATTCTCCACCTCTGGCATGGAGTAGTCCAAAGGCATCTTTGGCAAAAGCTTGCTTTGATGAATAAGGGTACTTAGGAGATATCACAAACTGACAAATGGCCCTAAGGGTCAAACTCCAGCCTCCTGACACCCACACAGCCACTTCTGCATTGCACACCGCTCCGCAGGCAGACCCCTCTGCACGCTGCAACGCCAACAGACCATCACTGGTAGTAAAATTTGCCCAGGTAAGTAATGGCATGGTGCAGACAAACCCTTCTAAATGAAACCTGAGGACAGTACACACAAAGTGACAGCAACGTACCACCCAAACACTGCTGCATTGTGATTGCTCTGCTTTTAACTTGCACAACAGTGTCGTTAGGGATAAAACTAGCAAATTGCATCAGCTTCTCTCCCTAACGCTGTCAATCTGGTGTACACACATGACATCCCAGTCTCTTTGCACATGTAGTCAGAGATTCCCACTGACTCCAACAGGCTTTCAGTCTGTGTCTGAGGGGTCAACAGCAACAGTAGAATGACATTCTGCACTAACTACCTCTGATAAAAAAGATCCTCTTGGAAATCACATACTAGGGATAGAATTTTGCAATCAACGGCCATTTTCACAGTTGTTTGATAAGCTGGATCAGCTGATCAGTTTGTCCTGCTCTCTTCATGCTCTTTGCTCTTCAAATCTCAGACGCAGTTAGAAGCATAGACAAAGGTGCTCTTTCTTTTTACCTACTGTATTACTATTGTAATACATTTAAAATATTGTATTAAAATACACTTCTTGGCAGAATAATTTTGATCTGTTTTCCTACAACTAGTTTAGATTCTTTCACCTAGATTAGTAATGTTTACTATAGTGTTCCCATTCATTTTTAAACACAGAGCTAAAGCAACTTCCAAACAAGACAGTAAACTTCATTCTTCCATTACTGGGGACATACATGGACCCTGTAATAGACAGATTCTTCCTTGAAGAATTCACAATCTATGCTGATGAGACAGACAGAGGATGGAGGAAAAGGAAACATGATCAGACTGTTTCATAAGTGGGAAATATGGGACAAAGTAAGCTCGTCCAAGGTCACACAGGAAGTTTCTGGCATACAAAGGAAATGAATGTTGAGCTCATGAATTTCAACTGTTGCGTAACTAATAAGGGACATTCTCCCCTCAGTCTTATTCAGAACCATGAGAGTTTTATTCTACAACAAAATCATATTTAGTTTGGTAGATTTACCTTACATGAGAAAACACATTCATGCTCCAAACCTGTCTCTATCTCAGAGAATAACTGTCATAGAGTCTGTACAAACAACCTTGTCACCAGTTCCAATTTACCTTCAGGTCATCTGGAATGAAGACTTTGCGAGCTTTCTTAATCATTGGCTGTGGTTTCAGCTCTTCTTCAGAGAATTTGCGCTTACGAGGGTCAAACATCTCCTGGCCAGGAATACTGGAAAGAGCAAGATCTGCAGGGTCAGGTTCATAGCCAACAGGAACTTGGATAGTCTCAGGATCAATGGGACTCGGTGTGTTTCGGTTTGCTGGCAAGATTTGACCTACAGAAATAAAGGAAAAATTCTGCTATGTTTGAGGAAAATAGCTAAGTAACACCACTGAACATGGATTTTAGAAGATTTCTAAATATGTTACAAGCAATAATTCTTTAAGCTTTCATTGTAAATCTGGTATCTACTCTTGCTAAATATTAGATTGTCCATTTTGTAGGGTGCATATTCAGATCCAGACATGCTCATTCATTATTTTCAGAATTGGTTCCTAATTCTGGTTGCTAACCTTGGAAGCCCACTTAGTATGATTGAATCCAAAATCCCTGAATCCAACACTGAGTTGCACTAGACTGCTGGCAGAAGATATTGCTTATTAAGACCACAGGGGATAGGAGGAGCAGGCAGGGGATGGCAGGGGAAGGCAGAAGGAGGCAGGGGCAGGCAGGGGAAGGCAAGGGATAGCAGGAGGAGGGAGGGGGAGGCAGGGGATGGCAGGGGAAGGCAGAGGGAGGCAGGGGCAGGCAGGGGATGGCAGTGGATAGCAAGGGATAGCAGGGGGAGGCAGGG